CACTGATATCATTCCCTAAATACCTTCCCCCAAATGACACAAGAAACCTGCCAAGGGCATCAACATGTTAATTTATAAAAAATGATCAAAAATAATATGAAAAAAAGGACAGCCCGGTGCACTAAGCTCACGCTATGCGCGGGGTCCGACGAAGGGCCGGACCACAAGAGTCTATTGTACGCAGTCGTACCCAGCATTTCCGCAAGAGGCTGTTTCCACGGCTCGAACCCAACCTCCTGGTCATATGGCAGCAACTTTACCAGTTACACCAAGGCTCCCTTTCAAATACGAATTGATTTATTTCAAACTTGAAAGATAACACGAATTGTCCTCTAAAGCCTCCATGAGGTAATAGAGATACTAGACTAATAGGCGTTTGATTTATTTCAGCTTTTCAAAAACAAAACAAAAAAAGAGTTTACAGAATTTTATAGCGAAACTGCAACTATCTATGAGCATAGCAAACTTGCAAATGCAGATATGAGTGGATATTCACCCAAAAGAAGGGGGGGGGGGGGGGAGGGGAAGCAGTTGGTATGAGGGAACAAAAAAGCTTCCAATTTGGTATGATCAAATATCCTGCCAAATTTAATGAGAAAGCAGTCCATAGCTCATCAAAAAGATTTATAAATACGATGTGGCCAAATGCAGGTATGAGTTAAAAATATGAGTAGATGCGAGCGAGCATGAAAGCTCGCAATCTGGTCGGATCAAAAGCCTTCTGAACTAAGCAAACAGAGCAGTCATGACGCAGGACGATTTGGCTAACTACGAACTTATCTTTCTATTCCACGCCATCAAAAGCAATACTCCTTCCTATTTATGTGATTGTGTTTGACTAAGCACGGAATTTAACAAATTAAAGAAGAATTTTGACGTGATAGCCAAATATATGCAAAGTACCAAAATTATCATTTTAAATGAGTGGTGATGAAAGCTCCACACGTCTTTTCATTCAAAATTAGTGGTGAGGGTCCTAAAAGGTCATGTTGTTAAGGGTAAAATGGAGATCTTAAAATTAATAAGTTTCCAAAAAGAGAAAGGTGTCATACTTTTTGGGATGTCACATAAATTGGGGCGGAGGGAGTAGTATTTATCAAGGGTATGATGCTAGGCCTAGATACTAAAACTCATCTATGATATATTTTACAAATATTTGCGCTAAGCCAGTGCACAACAAGTGTAACTACAGGCTATCCAAAACTGCCATTTCGTCTAAAATAGCATCTACATCTTGTACAATAACTAGTTTGCACCGAAAAGCAAGGAGAAAAAGATCATCTCTTTCCTATTCTTGTACTCCCTCCATTTCAAAAAAATTGGCATACTCGGAGTACAAGAGTCAAAGTACTATTTGACTATGAATTTGGACATAGATTTTTCAATTTTTTGAAAATAAAATTTACATTTCAGGAAACTACGTAAAAAGTATTATTNATGTGTCACTTCTTGAATCACCAAATACTCCCATTTTCCATTATACAAATGGGCATTACCCATTTGAATCAATAAAAGAAAAAGTAAGTGGACTAACCTATTGAATCATGACTATATCCGCTATTTTGATACTCAAATTCAATAGAGATGAAATTTGAGCATGCGCTAAGCTCTAACATGTCTACCGCATCCCTGCCCTATTGGAATCGAAGTCCAACATACAACAACAAACCCCGCATAATTCCACAAGTAGTGTCTGGGGAGGGTAGTGTGTATGCAGACCTTACCCCCCTTTAAGAAGGGGGAGAGGCCATTTCCAGTGGACCCTCGGCTTAAGAAAGATAAAAAGAATGGCAACAACAAGCAAACCAATTGAAAAACCAAAGCGAAAATACAAAACCAACACTAGGTAATGCAATCAAAACATCCAAATGAAAGCAACAAGTAATAACAAAAGTCGAGTACGAAAATACACAAATGATACTAAATAATGTACTAAAGCTGCTGTTACAAACAAGGACATCGCTCCGCTACCTAGCCCCTTACCTTTATTCTCGACCTCTATACCACCTTCCTATCCATAGTAATGTCCTCTATACCAGATGTTCTAAGCGTGCAAGAAACTCCATCCAGAGGATAAAAATGAATTGTATATTACTTTTTTGTTTTGGTAAGAATGACTGTGAATCCATACTTGTAGTCATAGAATCCCTGTAAGTTTTTGTCTGGGGGGCCTTATTTTGCTATTATGGAGGACGTATCTGGTTAACAGCACAAGCTTTGTGCTAATATTTTTAATATATGTAACATGTTACCAATTTAAAAAAAAAAGGGCAAACATATACAAACTCTCAGTTTCTAGAGCTCGGATAAGCTAGTTTTAGTAGAGTCAGCAAGCTTGAGATTTTCTTTTGTCCATAAACAACTCAGTTCCTATCATAATATCTCCTGTTGAGTGTTGACAATTAATGAAGAACTCAGGATACTTCGACAGAACCAAATATAAGCGGATTATAGATTGACAAAAATGTGATTCTAACTCATACCGGAATCTGGGCTGCATTAGATTGCTTCCACAGGCAAAAAACTCCATAGGCTTGCCAGCCTCAAAGCAAGTAGGATGAATAGACTTAAGCTTTGGTGCTGGTCCCTTTAGCTTGACTTTCACTACTGAATTTTCACCTGCTTTATAAAGAATATTTGTTACCATTTAAAATTGCAACTTTGGTGTTGATCTGTTATTTTGGGTTTGTGACTTGTCCCACCAATATTGTGCATACATAATATACACGCATAAACATACATTTATATATGGAAAATCTGAAAAATTGTTTCCCATTGTCCATAAGGTGGGCCAACTCTGATATGNGCCTGCAAACTGGAGAGATTTTTTTGTTTTTCATTTCTACTGGGATCAGGGAAGGAGAAAAGGGACACTGAGACTAGAACCCATTGTGTTGGAGAATGCCACTAGTACAACTGAACTATAAGCCTTGGAGTGTTCACGCCTAAAAGCTTTTATTTTTAAAAATCTTTATAAGAATGAGGCCCCAATAGTTCTTGACAAGTTTCACGCCTATTTTTAGTGAAAATTTACTATCCAGAGTCCAACAATCTATCCGTAATCAAAGGACAGTAGGACACCCATGTCCTAAAAANATAGCCCTCCAATTCGACAGGCATACTGGCCAACCACTGGAAGATCTGTAGAGTAAAATGTCAATCAAACCCCATGAACTCTATTGGAGAAAAAGAATTTACTTTCTCTTATGTACTAAACTGTAATAATAATCCTTTAATACTTGGTGCCGGAGTCTTCGAGGGAACTCTGCAGGGTTCCAATCATAAAGCTTGAATGAGATCCGACCAGTGGGGCACTGTGCAAAGAAGAATGACGATCAGTCAATTCAAAGTTATAGTCCAGATATAAATGGAAATTAATGGGAAAAGGGGAATTATGTCATCAGACCTACCATCGAAGAAAAAGCACTCTTGTTGTCGTAATAGGATGGAGAAAGGGAATTTTTGGAGTTCTCTTTTTCTGCATCACCCTGTGTCTCACCAGAAGCTGTGAAACTGTCACTCTGATTATTTTGGATGCCTTGAGTAGAGCCTATTGGCACATGTCCTTCAGATTCTAATAAGATTTCCCTTTCTCCTAATTGGCTGCCCGTGCATGTGCTATCTGGTCATTCAAACAAACAAAAAAAATATCCTATTTTCAGTTTAAACCAGTAGTAGCCTAACATATGGAACATGGCATCTACTATAGATAAATGACAGGTAAATACAGCTTTTCCAGCAGAAGACAACTTTTTAGCCACAAAGTTGTTTCAAGTTCATTATACCTTTGACATTGTCATCATCACCACTAATATCATCAGCCGTTGTGACCTGCCGAGATTCCTTCTCAACAGACATTTTCGAAGAATCAATGGCTTTTCTCCTGCGCCTGTTGTTGTGCCGCTCTAATTTTCTCCTACAACTACGCTTACCTTCATCAAAGTCCGACAAAATATGAAACCTGGAAAAGGTATAGCAGCATTAACATATCGGTTGCATCTGGAATTGGCACGTGCCAATTCAGGATATCTGGCAAATTCTTGACTAGATAGCAATGTGTACCAAACAGTTTCATATAAATACACTTAAGACTTGAAGTGATCAAGTGAAACAAAAGATACAATTAAAATGTCTGTCAAAGTAACTCCAAGGGAAGAGAATCCTTAATTCAAAGACCAAGCTCGTGAGCAGATCCCACATACTATAAGTATACTCAAAGAGCTCAATCAAAGATTAATCTTTTTTTTAAGTACCAACATCACCTATGCGATTAGTTCAATGACTCAATCTAAAGCCATCTTTTGCAAACACATCAACATATATTTCTTGGCAGGCTTTCTGAAACTTCCTTTTTTATCACTTTGAGCATTAATAATGGTTTGATCAGTCATAGTATTACTAAAAGAGGTTTTATATCATTTCTCTTTACTTTTTTTGCATGCTAAATGTGGTAAACGTGGTTGTACTTTCAAATCAATCAACAATCAATTCACGCCTCAAACCCAAACTATTCTGATTCCGTTATATCTACATTTATTCCGCTCGGTTTTGTTCTATCCTCTCATCATTACTCCAGGCTATGATCTACTAGCATAAAACATGTACTTGTGAAATAGAGGTTTAAGTTCTATTCACTCATAACATTATATAAGATATTTACATAATCAAGTCACCTATTAGGTAATTACATGTAAATCTTTTAAAAGCAGTAATTAATAATTTGGTAAAAACAGTAAATAACACTTTTAAACTTCACTGATAGTGTAAAAAGATCTTCACACTGTCACTGTATATAATTACAAGTAAATCTCTTGATAAACAATAATTGATAATTTGGTTTTAGAAAAATGATAACTAACCTGCGATCACATGTTAAATTTCTGATAGTGCNCTGATAGTGTAAAAAAAATCAAATCTTTATACTGTCATCATATATAACTTAATCCATTAAGAAAAAAAGTAAACGTACTTGCCACACTGTTGGCAGTATCGCTTGCTCTGTCCATCAAGAAACACAGCAGTAGCATTAGCACAACGTAAGCAGACCCTATGTCTCTTATGATATCCTTTCAGCTCACTGATATCCGCTTCACAATCGGGTACTTGACACCTCGCCCCAGCAGCTCCGGACGAAGCCCGTAAAGTCCGGGGCCGTTTCTTCCCGGGCCCAATCCCTCCCAACTCCTCTTCCTCCATCTTCTCATCTAACTCGGGACAAGCACACGGGATCCTACCCGCTAAAAAGTTCGAGCACGCCATCCTCGGGTCCCTTTTCCTGACCCGACCAGTATCCGCATCCGCCTCCTGGCTCTGCGGTGAATCTTCCGAAGAGGGTATTATTAAGGGTGCCGCCGGTTCTGTCTCCGTCTCCGGCGGGTGAAGTAACGGGTCGTCGAATGAGATGTTCAATTGTTCTTCGTCGAGGTTGAATTCGAGGAAATCGGACCAATCAAAGAGGGACGAGGAAATTGTCGGGTCATCAAGGGTACCGGAAAGCATAATTTGGGTATTTCTGAATTGGGTCGGAGCTCCGGTTTGTGATGGTGAAGAAGCTTGATTATTATGCATTTTCTGGTC